CGGGGGGGATGGGGGTTGGACACAGCTGCAGGCATGTAGAACCCTTTCCCCGTCTCTTAATGCCCATGATCAGCTGCCACCATGAGCAGCACGGCAGGAACGTCCGCACAAAACCGCGCCACTATTCAGGGCCAAATCAGCCACAGGAGGCAGCGATGCTCTCCGTGCCGACCAGTTCATCAGTTAGTCCATTTAAACACCTGAACCAGCCTTTCAAGTTGTCACCTCCCCAGCTGCCCCAGCCGTCATCCAAAACCATTGGACGACTATTTATCAGGGCATGATGAGAAGATTTAATTAGGCTGAAGTATAATAGTGGGCTATTAAAAGCTGGGAGGGTAAAGAGCTGGGAGAGATTTTTTTAAAATTATTATTCTTCATCAGTGTGCAGCTGTTACCCGGGACCCACGGGTTCAGCACCGTAATATGTGGTGTTTGATAAACAAAAACAACACGAGAACCCCCTCCTCCCCCAAAGACTTTCTCCATGTTTGCTTTCAGTCAGTCCTTCTTCCCTATGTGAAATATTCCCACCAAAACAAACAAAAAAATAAATAAAAATTGAGCAACCACTGCTAATTGACATGATGCTGCTGTCTGTTATTGTGTATATAAAATAAACATCATGGCCAATCACTTCATGGCCCAGCAGTGGAGCTGTCAAGGGTTTAGGAGGAACAGTGAGGATGATGGATTGTGGGTATCCATCTTCATAGTGAGGAGAAACTGAGGCCTAGTCAATATCAATTTCAAATATCACAAAATAGAAGTTAACTGACAAAAGTTTAGCTGGGAGAGACGAGAGAGAGAGGCGGTTCAGTTTTGGTCATAATTTCAACAGTATTTTTGTGGCAGTACATTGGGAGCTGGTGCATTGATTGCCCTCTGGCAGCTTTCTGCTGAGGTGAACATTTTCCACTCTCTACAATCAATCACTGCCACTAGGGGTGCCACCCAGAAGTGCACATCCAATTTTTAAAAACCTCATGACAGTGACACTGAACATTCAACATGTAGGTTGTGTATCGACGTGCGACTTGTCTCTCCGGGTCCAAGGAAGAGATTTTTTCTGTGCAATAAAACGTCTGTGCCACACGGCATCACCTGTGCAGTAAAACTTTACTTATTTCAAAACTCCTCACTTCTGATTTGTGAGGAAAAATCAGCTCTGTTGTGATCGCTGTTGTTTCATACCTGTAGATATGGTTACAAGTACTTGCCTGCTACTACGTCAAGAGTATTACTATATTCCATGAAAAATGAAGCCACTGGTATATTAATTTTGCAAACAATTCAGTGTGAAAATATCCAAATGCCATTTATTCAATACCATTCCTAATATCAATGTACTGTTTCTTTAATTTACACACGCTGTGGGAAAAACGGTTTGTTTCACAGAAGTACCTTGTGCTTAAAATACCCTATTAACACCCAGTATGTTTGTTGCTTGCCTCACTGAGCGTATTTAAGGCCCGAGACCATTGGACTGCAGAAGGATTAATATGCAGCCGTGACTAAAAACCACCAACTCTATGAAGACATTTCTTTGGATCAGACACGAATCAACCAACTCTATGAAGACATTTCTTTGGATTAGACACGAATCAAAACAGGTCTCACAACTTCAGCATCGCTGCTTCCATCTTTACCTTTAATATTTATTCCCCTCACCTTAGTGTCTGCTCATTTCCCCCACCTTCTCAACCCCTCTCTCAATCAATCACTTCCAAAATCCTGCCACAGGGGGAGTTCTCCGCCAGCTCCATCCCTCCTGCTTGTCTATTCTCCAGGAAAGCCAAGGAAACAGCAGCATATACAGGGGTCGGTCTCCAGGGAGAGCCAAATGGAGTGGGAGGGAGGGGAGCAGCGATGAGATTGAATGGGGAAGCAGGAGATAGAGTGAAGGGAGGGGGAGTTCCTTTGGAAAGGAGCCAATCCAATTACAGGCAGCGGTGCAAGCCTGGTATCTTTGGTGTCGCTACATTCACATTTCAACACGGTGTCTCACTGTTTTTCCTCTGCTGCTTTTCTATGTCACATAATGCATTCTATACTACTCACCCCTCCCTGCCCTCTCTCCCTCCACCTGTCCATCTCTCATGGATGTAGGAAAAAGGTAATGGTTTGACACTACTATTAGCAGCGAGGCGTTGAACCTGTCACCCCGCAGCAGGGTCGTGGTCCGATCTGAAGGAAACCTCCGGCACGTTCTCCCCTTCGCTTGTTTTCACGTATTTCTGCAGGAGCTTATCAACACTGTGCAGAGCAGCTGCGGGGCCTCAGCTGGTTCCTCTGCACCTTCTGTAACACCTTCATGTAAACAGTACTCTGAACCAAAGAAGCACGGGGGGGAAAAAACTACCTTCAGAAGTTGAGAGTAAAATCTACTGACGATGACCTGAAAGTGTTTTCTCCCTAAACACACACACACACACACAGTCAACATTACAGTGTTGTTTTGTGATCACAAGGTCTACGGTTTCATTACTACACCCCCACAGAGAGAGCTGATCAAAGCTTCTTTACACTAAACAACGACGGTGGCGTTGTCTTCAAAATTTAGGATCCACTTTTCAGGTCATTTAAATGCATAACATTCCAACTTATTGCAGAATATTGGGTGTGAATCCGGCTTTAAACTTTTGACAGGGACCAAAATGGTTCCTGATTCCCTCCTCTGTCCATAAAGTGGCAGTATTTCATAACATCCTGTTTTTTCATCCTCATCTGTCCCTGGTTTTTCCCCTTTTAGTCCCTTAGTGTCTCAGGCATCACGTCACACTAGCATCAGCCAGGCTAGCGTTTCTGTAGCCCTGTGAAGAGTGCAAAAAGCCTCCTGCATACAGGAAATTGAAAAGACTAGGGGTCTGGACCTGGGATGTCAGGTGACGGTTACAGCCAGGAAGATTAAAAATAAAAATACTATAAAAGCTACGGTAACACAGGAGGGAAAACACTTTCCCCTGTCTCTTCAGTGTAACCAAGTAGAAAGAGTGCTAAATTATTAAGCAGCCCTAAAAAAATGGAGGGATGAATATTCTCTCCACTACAGGCAGATCAGTCTATTGATTTAATTATGAAAAGAAAGAGATAAAAATAAACCAGACCAACAGCCTCGGAGCTACATTCTTCAAATCACTATAACAAAGAACAAACAGCACAGGATTGAAGCAACTTTTACCCCCAATGCCTGTCATAGGTGGGAGCTGGGTAACTAGTCTACAGTAAATGAGAACTAAGTCAATAATGACAGAATGACAGTGACACGATCGATCTGGACTCACTTAAAAAAACATGGCATTTTCATGTATAACGTTATAACCAGTAGATTATCAATCAATAATGTGAATTGACCAATAAATGGATCACAGGTCCTACAGAGTGACGTTCATACACTTCCCAGGGTCCTGACATCACCATTCTGCAGCCAAACCTTTAGCATACTAGCTAAGTGTAGCTAACATAATGTATCTTGACTGACCTGGATACTTTTATTGTAATGGTTGGTTTAAAATGAAAAAACAAATAGATAACATAGATAACATAATAGATAACAGATTGGTATTTCTTTTAATAGTCTGTACCATTACAGGTTATTATAGGGGTATCAGCCATGAGGAGCAGAAACCATCTGGTTACCGCTATCACCTGAGAGAAAATCCACATCCGGCATCCGTCCAATATCTCTGACTGAAATTTCCGGAGGAATCACACAATCACTGTCTGTCTGTCGGTGAACAATCACACCCGATCCCTTTTTTTCCTGCGACTGTGTTGTATATCTGTAATTATTAACTGTCCAGTAGCCCCTTAACCCACTGTGGTCCCTGGATCCTCTGACTAAGACCAGGAGGTTTAGTGCATAGACTTGTTCTCCCTTTGCCTCTAGGTGTGCCACAGGCAGAGAAGTGCCTATTAAAATTAATGGGCCAGTGCGGGCTATTCAACACTGCAACACTGGAGCTCACAAAACAAGAAACTGGTAACGACCGGTACGGTGAGCCAGCCATCGCCATTACCCCTCTCCAGTACTTTGACAGCGGGCATTAAATATTTAGGAGATACATTTCTCCAGGACTATGATCCATCTGCACAGAAATAGGACCACTTCACCACGTCTGTGCACCACATACCACTGGGCAGTGCTCATGCATCACACTGATGAATTGAGTAAAAATTCCCTACTAAGGGGCTTTAACTGCAGGTGGAAGAAGAACCAGAGAGGTTTCGCACTCACCTTCTTCAGCTTTCCATTCTTGGTGCCCACAAACGCTACGCAGTAACCGTTGTAGATGTAAGAGGTGACGGAGGTCATGCGGTCCCGCGTCTCAGTGTAGAGCGTGTGACCGGTGACCAGCTGGGAGCCCCCCAGTGGTTGGTTGATGTCCAGACCACAGAAGGAGTCGTCAATTGGTACGGGCTGTAGGAGAAGAGGGACGGAGTTATTTATTTTTGTTTTTTGTTTTTTTCAACCTGGAAAGTTAAACGGTCATGTAAGCTTTGCAAATGACATTCTGAAGAATTAACATTTACATTTAAAAATATGTTTAAAACATAGGATTTTCATCAGGGTTTAATTAGGTGGATAATGTAATTTTTCTCAAGGTCAAAAAAAATGAGTTGACACTGAAAGAAATGTAGAAGAAGAAGTCAAATCAGGTCAACTGAGACTCTCTGAGTAGCAGTGGCCTCAAAGTGCCATGTGGAGTAAAGTGAGACGGTGCGACACAATAATCCTCAACGTACACAGCACATACTCCACAACCCCATGCTAACGTATTCTGTTCCCCGACCCCCAGTCTCTACCCCCGGGCCGTCTTTCTTCTCCATCTTCATCCCTGACATACTGTGGATGGGGGCGCTGTACAATACGAGAGACTTCACAAAACTGAGATACAGAACTGTTCAGTTCTTTGCACATTTTCATGAGCAAAGCAAAAGCAATAATGCTGACAGAGAATAAGGGTCTGGTCTGTCACAGCCACACTCCCTACGACGTGGCATTTGCTTTTATTTCTGTGGCTCAAAATAGCTCAGTGCTGACTGTTCTACTACAGCGCTGATAAAAAAAAAAAAAAAAATCGACATCATCGCTTTGACTTTTCCAATTGAATTATTTTCTATTCAAATCTTACTTGTCACTCAGAACATGCGCCATGTAGTTCACATCAGGGATGAAATTTACAGGCTGCTATTGGACCTTTAAAAAATAACTAAATCTGAGGTGTATGAAAATATAAAGAGTATAAATACAAAGAAGGACAAAATAAGACTGAAACACTGAAAAAGAAAAGGAAAAAAAAACTATAATATAAATATATTGCATCGCAATATAACAGAGAAGTTCCAGTGTGTGTCACTGTTCTAATACTGTCGTGCTACTGTACAGGACTATAGGTTATGTTTATGTACAGTTAGGCTATTTAAAACATGGCCCGCGGGCCACATGTGGTCCAGATTTAACCTCAGAGCGGCCCAATCTTTGGTCATACAAGAAACGTGCTGAGAAACTAAGAAAATTAAAATTGAAGAATAATCTAAAATGTCTACAGTAGAACAGACCCTGAAGGCAACACTCTCCGTAGCCTAGCATACTGCAGTCAATAATGATACTTCCTGTGTGTCTGTAAGTGTTCACAGTTGACTCTGCAGTAACATGTCCGTCTCAAAACTATATAAAATTTTAACTGAAAATCAGTTCAACTCGTTCACGGACTTGAAAACCCTGGTTAATTTTGTAGCAAACTCCAGTGCTGGTTCAAATGTTGATGTTACCTCCAATAGGGTCTGGCCCAAAAGGCTCTCATGGCCTGGTTCTGACCCAACTATTCTATATGTATAATTGAAAAGTGCTGCTGTATGGACTGGGGAAGTGAGCGGCTCTCATTAGAGACAGCCTTGAATTTCAAACATTAGCTTATCAATAGCCACTTTCACTCAGGCATACTGCTGTTTCACATATGGTTCAGACCATTTGGTCCTGATTATATCAAGACTGTTTATAGTGTTCATTCAGCAGACTTGGCAGCCGAGCCAAGTTCCCATGTAGTCCGTGTGGTTGGGTTTCCTGGTTCACCTTCCTGCAGGATTAGCTTTCTGCCTTCGCCTTACTACAAAATCTCACATTGTTAAAAGTTACTTCACACTCGGCCACAGATGATGAGCAGGAGTCTGTAGAGGTTTCAGCTGAGATTTCTAGTCTAAATGACTTGTCAGTATTGAATTACTGGACATTTTTTAATCTGCTCTGTTAGCTTGAACTTAAAATACACAATGAGTGGCATCAAGTGTTTTAACAACCAGATAGATTTTTGGAAAAAAAGGACAGCATACCAACTTTTTTATCAAACATTATGGCAGTACTAGATAGATTTTTGGAAAAAAAGGACAGCCTACCAACTTTTTTATCAAACATTAAATACCAGCTTTAAACCCCTGCTCCCAAAGCAGCAGGTAATTAACCGTCAGGGCATTAGCACAAAGCAGGACGAGATGATAGTGTTGCTCAGATATAGACAGACAGATATATAAACAGACCGATATAGAAAGAATTCCATTATGTCTATCCTCCTTGGAAGCAAATGCAGAGACAGCGTGCATCTCCAGATGGCAGAAGGCTGGACAGCCGGGTGATAAATCTTTGATTGGCTGCTGTGTCAGAATCCCCTGCCTCAGTCTCAGTTCTATTCCCAGCCTTAGCCTTGGACCGCCTGCACTGTTAAGTGTACGTGCGATGAAACGTCTGCAAGACGGGAATGTCAGCTAAGGGTATAATTAACATTTTCTACTTGGAGCTGGCTACCTGCTGTTAGCAAGCATCGCAGGAAAGGCACTCAGACTGTATGTGTAATTTACTCTGAAAACCAAGGACGGTCCAGTGATTAAAAAAAAACCAGGCTCCTGGGTTGGTCTAACCTTGACTCACCTCAGATTCAACCACATGTTTTGATGGATCTTGGATTCTACAATTACCGCACGCCGAGTTGAGAACTCAGAACTCAGTTGAAGTTCAGATCAAAGTTGGTAGACGATGTTAGCATGTTTGGTACGCGATGTCAGCATACCTCTGGTTAAATGGTAGACTGAAGGTCATTAATGTTTCTCAAACACTGACAAACTCCTGCAAAACACAACACAATACTTTCTATGGACTCACTGCACTCATGTGTATATGTTAGCGCTAACAGCTAAACCAATGATTTTGATTAATAAACAGAAAATAAAATTGAAATCCCTTCATTCGCCCTGAGGAAAGGACAGTGTGAGATTTTTCAACCTACACAGCCTGCCACAGGTGGCGCCGTTAAGAATGTGGTTACAATTCAAACGCTGCCACAAGGGATTCACCGTTGCTTATGTGGTTCCTCTGAGACTTGAACCAAAGACCTCCTGCGTGTAAGGCTGGCGTGAAAACCACTGCATTAGGGAATCAACCAGTTCATATATCTGGTATGGAGCCGTGGAGTGAAGTTAGAAGAGAAGAACCCACTTGGACAAAGAGGTGGAACATCTTCAAGAACCCAACTACTGAACTGCTTCAAACTCTGAAGCATTTTTATTGGCTGTGTGTCTAAATACGGGGGTTAGTGGGTGTCAGGTGGAACTGAGGCATAATGAACTGGTCTGTTAATCTGGATTACAGTTATAAAATTCAGATACTGGGATGTTTTTAACTGCTTTAGCGGTGCCTCCACGATGTTGTTGGAACCTACGGTACTATTCCCCAGTCCACTGACGGCGAGTGCTTCAATCCCCTGACTCCTCCGTTGAGCTAATAAAATCCCACACAGCTAGTTGGTGATAATGTCTCCATCATCCTGACAATCACCTCTGACATCGTGCTAATGGGGAATTTAGTGATTTTAATAAGACCGGTCATTTAAATCCCTGGAGAAGTGAGAGATCATCAACAAAGGAAAACGATTACAGAGGTTTTTTTTTTTTTCTATTCCCATCATTCTACGATGATATGATTAGGAATACTATTAAAAAAATAAAACTAAATGCCACTGCTCGTCACACACACATGAATACACAGGTTTTCCACATACATACACTTGTACAACACTCATGCAAACATGCACTCCAACCAATTAGTCATATGCCAAGCTAGTCATTAATTCTTAATGCTTTTTCTTTCCTTTTTTTTCAGTACTAATAGCAATTACTGAGTAGATGCGCAGGGTCCTGTGGCCTCCTGGGAGTAGGAGGAGATCAAGAAACTTAATTCAACATGACAACTTGTAAAAGATACATGGACTTGTAATGCAGCCCAACTGAGGATTAGGAGGTAATAGACTGGTGTGCAAACTCAATGCACCAGAAGCAGTGAGTAAATTAAACAGTTGTGTCTAATTGCGGTAGACAGATGTATATATGTTTATGACGTGGTTAAAAATATTAACCGCATCCATGTTTAAAATAGAGATCTATAAAAACAGTTGACCGCCAGTTCTCTTTTGCAAATTATACTTCTTAAAAACACCACCACTTAGAGTGAGAACCGTTTCTTTCTATTACCCTCGCAGGGTATTGCACAAGCATTTCCTGATAACTGTTTATTCTCATTACAGCACACGCCCTAAAATGTGAAGCCCTGTGGTTTGCAGGTTGACTGAAAAGCTGTGGTTGGTCGCTGTTCTGTTTACGTTCTGAGTTTGGGAAAGTAGATGTTTTCTAACCGCCGTACAAGAGCTTGCAAATTTTAAGCACTGTGGAGTTATTCTCCACAGTCTCACTTTCACTCTGGGGAATGTTTTATTTACCAATAACAGCAGGTATTGTGTCAATAACAGCAGAGGGATTCACGTAGTGTGAACGGTGAATGAATATAAATGCCTGTGTAACTGATGATTTCTTTCTGTGCCTGGTTGCAGTAAACTCACCGCTTTGGTGCACTGCACATCCTTTCCGAGAAGCCAGTTGAGCTCAAGGTGTCCTTCTCCCTGGTAGCAGGACTGGAGCCGCTCTTTGATTCGAGCGTTGATGTCCCGGATGGTGAAGATGCAGAGTGCTGAGTCATCTGGGGGCCGATGGAACTGTTTCTGGCCCTTGGAAAAGATTGTGAAGAGGACATCGTCTTGGGCACCGATGTTCAGCGAGGCGGCGAGCACGCGCCCTGGCTTGCCAAGGTAGGCGGCCTGCAGCAGTCGGTACTCGATGCCATTTTTTACACAACCAATGGGGAGAGAGACGTAGGAGTGAAACTTGTGGTCGTCTTTGCAGAGGCGGACAATGCGGGACGTGTAAAAAAGGTCGCTGGTGGATCCAGTTGAGGACATGCCATTCTCTGGCGTCTCAGGTTGCACGGTCAGAAAGTACACGAAGCTGCCACTGGCAAAACCATACACGTAGTAAATATCAAAGTGGGAAACTAGTGCCAGTGTGTCTGATGGTATTTTGATTAGAGAGGACACAAAGTCAGTGTGTAATTCGTAGTCAAGCATGGCTGAGGACTCAGGGTCACGGGGCAGCTTCCTGCTGGAGATGGTGGGAAAGTAGTCCTGCTTTCCATCAACTGCTGTGCCAATAAACAGAGTTCCATCCTGGCCATGTGACGGGACAATAACCCCGTACATGGTGCCAGTCTGATTGACACTAGAAAGGTAGTGCTCTTTCTTATGCGAGGGTTCCACCAGGATAAAAAGGTCATCCAATCGGAGTAGTTTACAGACGCCTTGGTAAAGGCTGCCACATGCTAGCAACCGGTTTTGGGAATAATCAATCAGTAAAAGCTTGTTGACGTTGTTGGTAGAGACGAGGGGCTCGGAACACGGTTGGACGATCAGAGGAGGGTAGCAGGCCTTGTTGTCATCCTCTGGTCCAGTGTCGTGGGAGACGAGTAAAGTAAGGTTGCCTGAGAGCTTGTACACACGGTTGACGGCGCCGATGTACAACGCTCCTGTGGTTTGGTGAACTGTCAGGTGATTAAAAACCCATTCCCGGCGTTCAGGATGGAAACTAGTAAATGTTTGCCCACTGCACATGACAGGTAACGCTAAAAGGCAAAAGAATAGGAAAGCAGTGACACCTAGTTTGGGGTCAGGCAACAAAGTCCTGAGTGTGTCCTGTCGGCCCTTCATGTTCACGAGGGGAAGTGCAGAGGATGCAGCGAAAATGGGTGAGGGTTAGAGGGGAAGAGACCTCCGCCTTTTTTGTTGTTGAAAGCAAGCCTTTCAGATGAAATCTTGGCCAGGGTCTTCACATGTTTCTGTGAAAGAGAAAAGGAAAAGTTCCATTAGATATCAAACACATATATGACTCATGAAGGAAACAGGTCTTTTCATGTGACTAAAGGTCATCATTTGTCAAGTGATGAGGTAAGGAGACAGTTGGTGGAGCTTTGCACTGACAATTGCTGGAAACCATTACAGTGCACATTCCTAAAGAGCTGCTGGAGACGGCAGGACAATGAAGGAAAGTGAGACGTGTTAAAGACAAATTCCCCTGACTGTGGACAGCTGCTGCTGCTGCTGTTACGTAATGAGCAAAACTTTTCCAAGAACAGAGCTGCAATCATTACAGTGACCGATAGGAGTGTGACATTATGTACATTATTATTTGTGTAACGACCAGTCTTAGTACAACTCATAAACAAACAGCTTATTGTTATCAATAAATGATGTGTAGAATCAACAAGATCTAGTTTCAAATTTTAAGTAAACAACAAAAGTCAGTGTACAGTAGATCAGGTGAAGCACGGGTCTGAATTAGCACTGAACATTTCATTAAGATTTGCTTTTTTTTCCCACATCTCATAGAAACCCCAAGCCCCCAACCAACAGCATTAACATCTGCCCTCAAGTTAAATTTTAATGCCACGCCTCAACAGTTAAGCCCTTAAAAATTAAAAAAACTTTGACACCAGAGCGAACAACAAATTTGAATCTAGACTTTAATCACTGACTGCCCCTCATTCCCCACAAAAAAAACTGAAAATACTTTTTGAAAGAAACTTCATTTTAAGATGAGACTAAGATACAGGTTGTGCTATAAAAGACCTTCCCCAGACTGTCTATAAACTATGAGACGAGGTTCTATGCGTTCTGTTCCTTGGACTTTATTATCTCATCTCCCTGAAAGGAAGGCCTGGGTCTTATTACAGAAACAAAGTGAGAACAAATGAGGAGCCACTTCCACACGCTAACCGTCTCTCTCTGCCTGCTGTTTAAGGGCCTCATTTTACAGAATCTGAATATGTTAATTATTCTCTTCTAAACGTTTCT